ATGAACAGTCACGAGGTAAAGAAGAGTAAAATTTAACTGGTGTTCAACCATTTTTGTCGAGTATTGTCGTGTGTATCAATGGTTTGCATACGACATGCCATCCATATCAGTATGGCAGTTCCTTGCTTAATAATTTCTTTCTAGTGGCGGTGGGTTATTGTTTCTACGATAGCTTATGTCTATGCGTACAATCCCTAAGAAGGGATGTATCTCCGCTTAGAGATGCTACAGGGATTAATATAAGAACTTATCGCTGATTATTATCATTATTTTCTTTTTGCGGTTGAAGGAAACTGGCATTCAATAGAAATAGGAGAAAAAAATATATTAATAAATGAATTATTTATGAATATTTTCGACAAATTTAGAAGATAAAACACCAAGTAACATACAAATTCCTCAGTCACAAGCATAATTAGAAAGTATAGTACCATATAGAAAATAATAATAAAAGATGCGCTTCAACAATTAAATGACGGACAAAATTTGATACTTTCTCCTCAGATTCAAAGTAATTAGCGTAATTTCTAAATTATTTTTATGTATTAACACGAATCCGAATTTAACCTTATTAAAATGAAATATTCTTCAACGAAAAATACTTAGAATTAAGTTAAATACGAATTAAAACACATAAGAGACTTCAATTTTCTATAATCTTAAAATCGATTTTTACGAAGGAAAATTGATAAAAATCGATTCTACTCATTTCTCTCTTCTAATGATTCACGAATCGATTTCTTTCTCTTTTTCATCATCATTAATTTTATTATTATTATTTTTTATAGACGAAACGAGTGAATAATCACCTACGCAGACAAGAAACAAATGCATTCTATTACAAATTTTAATGACGAAACTACACATTCCCAGAGAAAAAAAAATATTTTACAAATCTTTCGTATCTTTTACAATTGTATATTTATTGTATAAAAACATTTTTTGTGTAGTTATTTAAAAAAAAATAACAACAACGAGGGAATAGTTTCTATTGTTGCTGCGGTATTTTGATTGACGTCTTAGCTAAAAATACATTTATAAAATAAACAAAATTGAATAATTTATGAATATTTTTGACAAATTTGTAAGTTTATAATTAATTTCTTCAATATTCTTCATTAAAATTGTCTTACTATACACTTTTCTACAATGAAAATAAGTAATTAGATACGTTTATAATTAAATTTTGCTAAATCTCTTAAGAAAAATCTATATTTTAATCCATCGCATCGTAGTCAAATGGAAAATTTTACTATATAACAATAATAAATATTGTATATGAAAATCTTATCTTGTTTAGGAACATCTTTTATATAAATATTCTATCGAAAATCGATGATTTCTTTTCTAGTTTGGTTCAAACTTTCCATACTTTTTTTGGGGTGAGCATTTGATAAGATCTGCAACGCAGCACCTGAGCTAAAAAAAAAAAAAAAGGTTCTTAACACCTCAAATAGATTTTCAATATAACAAAATTACAGTCGAATTTCTTATTTTGTAAACGGTTTAAAGTTGATACTTTTAAAGAAAAGAATTCGATAATTCGATCGGTGGTTAATACATCAAGGTATGGATGGCCTCATTTTAACAATGCTATTAAGTATCCTCTGATCGTCTATACTCTATACTTAGAAGTGATCAATTTAGTTTCGTGGATAAAATACTTTGCTAGTGAAAAATAAAATCCAGAAATTAGTGTAAATCATTATGAAAAAAAAAACTTCTCGAAAGAGTTGCTTGACATTTTGGTCATTAGTATTAAAATACGCTTCGTAACAAAAAGAATTTTTGAAAATTCTTCTATATTTTCAGTAGATTTCGATAAAAATTTATAATTCGGCTAAGATCTAGCCAACTTAATGGCAATAAGACATTAATTAACAAGTAGAGAAAGATTAATCCATACAGTGCATGAAACTATTCTCTACAGTTTCTTTTATAGTCTATCTGTTTGACCCTGAAATGTAAATTCTATATTTTTGTAGGTTATTTAAGACAGTTTTATACTCGTAGAAACGATTCTATATAAGGTTGTATCGAGATTTAAGGTGCAAACAAAACAAAGAAATCAACCAGAAATGACTTTTTTTTAATTGTTTAGCTTCCAAGAATTCTAAGAAACTTGCTATTTTATGTTATTGTTTGTATTAACAATGCTAAATAAGTTCTTGCATTAGACAATGCAACAACTTGTAAATTAGCAATTTTTCCAGTTATAATTCCTACTTATATATATTTTTTCTTCATGTCTTAAAATCGTTCAAAAAATTAGCCAAAAATAATAATTAAAAAAAAACTAGGCGTTATATCATAAATTTCTCATAAAAAGAGCACTAAATAAATAATTTTTAAAGTTAATCCTCTCTCTCTCTCCCCTCCCGCAGGGGAATTTCGAAAATTTCCTTCTTAGTGTGCATTCTAATGGCGTACCCTAACTGTGTACCAAATTTCACTTCTTTAGGTTCAGCAGTTTGCTCTGGGCGATGATGAATCAATCAGTCAGTCAGTCAGGACATGTAATTTTATAGATAACCTGCTTTTCTCTCCTCTCTTAGTAGTCTTTTGTGTACTGTATTGTAATTATTAAGGAGAGAAAGGATGGCTGATGGCCGAGGCGTGAAGGATTTACCGCCAAGTTCCTTACTGTTGTCTGATCGAATCCACAATGGACATGTAACAAAGCCTTCCCGATGTCCCCGTGGCAGAGAGATTCTTGATTGTTGATTCGTGTTTTTGACTCGATTAGATGGTGAGTTGCGAATCAGATTTAGACCCTCGCAAGTTTTCAATGTTAAGCTACTTCCCAGTCGAGATGATTGTGCCAACCACGTTTGAAATGATTAGGATCAAGGCCGTCGAGAGGATGGAAGCTAAGGATATAGAGGAAGCTAACGGCTCTTAAAAGTTCTTATCCGTATATATTTATGTTATTTTTACAAGTTTTAAAACTACTTTTCATTAATTTAATAAACATTCAAGTGCGAAATTTAATTTTCGACGCTATTGCAGAAAGAGCATATTGTCTTTGGGAGGAAGAGATTCCACATAAGAGCACAGTGTATATGCAAATAAGGCGAGAACATTGGCAGAATCATAAAAATAAAATGTTCAGTACAGTTAAACTGTTGGTATTATAGGAGAAATGAAATCATTCGTGTCTCAAAGGTAAGATATAATTTTAGAATAATTAATATCATTATATATTATATTGCTATTTTACAAAGCGAGAATATCGTGGGATGGCGATCAAAACATCGTATCTTTATTTCCTAAAATTTTACAAGAGAACTAAAAAAAACATGGTTTCAAGGGAACAAAATTTTAAGTATGAGGTGGTGAGTTTTTGACAATGTCAGAGAGTGGGTTTAAAAGGGTGCAGACCACTTATGCGGTTTTGATCGCCAATCGACGATAAGAAAACGTCGTCATACCAAGATGGTGGCTAGCAACAGAGAATTGATACTGGTGTTAACTTCTTGTATTTATTCAAATGATAAAATTAATTTATTATATTATATTATTTATTGTATATGTATGAGATATATACCGCAATATTCATATACCATATATATATTATGTATTATATTTGTTGATTACCTTGCAACAGGAAATACGGCAATACGAAACAGCTTACGTTCTCTATTAGTTTAAATTTGAACTTGAATCATAGTATAACCTATAAACTTTTATGATTATTTAACATCAATTAAACTTTAAACTAAATATTATACTATATTTATGGATTTCAAACAACACATTTTTTTCAATTTTTAATAGGAGATTTTTAATACCTAAACATTTTATGTATTTCTTTCGTTAAATATCTATGAGAACCGAAAGAAAAAGGCATGTTTTCCTTCAAACGTGACGTCACTCCTCAGATGACCCCGAGTGATGATACACTTGTTCATTTACATCACAAGCATTCAACCTAAAATGCCAGTGCGATTCGTGAAAGAAATATTCGCCAGAAATTATGTCACTCTGACACAATAGAAGTTTCAAGGTCGCTTGTCACATGATAAAATGCACGTTTGCTCCTCCCCTTCGCCATGTTTGTGGTGTAGCTTCCACTTGCTTAGTTTGCACGTGGTTTGTTATTTGACAGGTCGGCATCTTTTTTTTTCAATATAAACTTAATAGAACTGCTGTATTTTTATGTAATGGACAAAGTTAAAAAAGATGCTTTTCTGGCGGGTTATTCTCGGGTAGTGAAATATCGCTCGGAGTCAGCAGTTAAACGCATTCAAACAATTTTAAATTCGCAAACAGATCCAAAATGGCCTCTTCCTATCCTTCCGCATCATTGATCTTCAGTTTCATCGCTCATCCTGCTCTGTTTCGATAAATATTTCCATTTGACCCCACTGTCATAATGCTATGCATTGAAATCTGGATCAGTTATGTATAATTTTGTGTACTTTATTAAAGTTTTTTGGTTATATAGTATCTCTCTTTTAAATTAACTGAAACAGTGGTATCTGGTCTGGAAAAATTGCTTGTTTGTATTGCAATTTACATTTAAATTCGTGATATTTTGATTCATTTATTAAATGCAAACATTCATAAAGGATTAAAAAATTCTTGAAATTGCAAGAGCTCTGTAAAGGAGCAGATAAAACGTGTAACACTATTGCATTCAAGTCCATGTGCAGACTAACATGTACTATTAGACATAATGTTGGGCATTTGTATAAATACATTGTTATAATTTTATCTTTAGGCAAAAAATACAGTATATAATTACCGTTTTCATGAACCCAATTGCACTTTCAAATTTTATATTTTATTTTTATCACTTAAAAAATAAATTTTACCTTTTCTGATTATGGGTCAATTTATTCATTTGTAGTCCTTACTATTTTTTTTTTGTTGTTATTTCAATTAAAAATGAATTACAAGAAAAAAATAAAACATTATTCAGTAAAATGGAGTTTTATTCTGTTAAATATACTTTAAACATAATTAATATACAGTATTTTAAAAAGAAATATTTACAATAATTAATAACAGTAACTCCCATTATCACAGGGAATAATTAAATAATCTAGATATTTATTTGCCCATTTTCTTTGAAATTTAAAAATTTTATTCTTTGGTGTTTTATTGAGATCACTCATAAAATCTGATTAAAAAGTTACTGTATGTTGATACATGGCAGAAAAAATTTAATTTGGTGTAGTTCCATTGAGAATGGGATCTTTGACAAGAGATATAATGCAGGTAGACGAAACATCACAGGGTGCATGCTCCAATTCGAACAGAACAATACTATTCCATTCATTATTGGATTCGAAAAAAACACTTGGAACATACAGTGTAACTTGAGGACCAATTATTGGCCAATATCGACCTAAATTGTGTTCGTTTAAGAAGGCAACACCCTGCAATAAAATATTTTAGAAAGATTTAGTTATAAATAGTAATGTAGCTAGATTAAAATATTTTAAAATATTTATAGGTTAAGTTTCTTAACTACAAAATAAAATAAAGATAAAACTAACATTTCAAAGTAAAATTCAATATTTAATTACAGATGAGTTTTATTTTTACTGAGATTCTTCAATTATTAAATTTAATGTAGAATATTAATTTATACTCAGCATATAGAAAAACATATTTTCTTTTACTTATTTTATGTTGAAAAAAATTTCATTAATATTCTATATCTAAATATGCTGAAACATAAACATTATTAATATTGAAGATAATTTTTAAAAGTTTAATTTGTCCTAAGTTTGGAAAATTATCATATGCTGAGAGTTAATTTAAATCAAATTCATTATTATTAATAAGATCTACAAAATAATATAATTTTTTTGCTAATGATTAGTTACAACCAGTTATTTATGTAACTTAATATATTCTGTTCTGTTGAATATATTAATATATACTGTACTGACCCCAAATATAAGTCTCCCAATTTTGTAATCCTTACATTTTAGAAAAAAATTAGGACCCTAATATAAGTTGCCTTTTTATTATTACTGTAATAGTTGTTGATAACACATTATTTCTTTAAACCCTTTATAACTGTGTCTTCATCAACATTCATAGTTTTACTGTTCTTTTAACTCTAATAAAAATTCCATATATTTTTGTAAATTTTTTCTGTGATTACAAAAATTACTCAGGTCCGTTTCAAAATGGCTTTAATTAGAAATAATTTTTTTAAAATTTGGATTTACCTGGAAATCAATCAGCATAAATGAATTTCTGATTATTTTGCTATTAATTTTTACAAATTGCATTTAAATCATAAATCTAGTTGATCAAAAAATTGTACTCAAAGGTGTTTTTTTTTTATAAAAAGAAATATATGCATCAGATGCCCCTATTATATGTGAAAAATCATAACTTATTGCTGCTCTTTTCTGTCCATATCAATAAAATTAATTAAAATTAATAAAATTTATAGAACAAAATCAAGATAATGTTCTGTGCACTGAGCAGTAGGTTGCCTAGTATATAAATCATGCCAGGGGAAGTGAGCTTCCTTGCATACTTTGAGTCTACTCTGGAAAGTATGCTTGANATTAATATTAAAACACTTAAAAAATATTAATTTATATTAATTATTGAAAGTATATTTAATAACATTATTACTATAAAATGATTGATAAATTAAAAATAACTTACTTTATGCCATCCATTTAATTTTAAAAATGTATCATAAGGATAGCCTGGTTTATTTGGTAATTTAAATAAACTCATATAAAATCCAGGTGTACAATCAGTGCATGGAATATCTGTATCTTCTGCATTAGAAATCAAATATTTAATTAAATTTTCAGGTTTTAATGATACCGGATAAATAGTCCAATCAGTGAGTATTGTTGAACCGAGAGTTACATTTTGAATGATACCCTAGAGATTAATATTTATTTAATTAAGATTATATCAAAATAAACTTTAAAAAATAAAATTAAAATTTTACGTACTTTTGTATCATTTATGCCACTACCAAAGCATACACGTCCTTGATTTTCTACTAGATGTGCACTGAGCAGTAGGTTGCCTAGTATATAAATCATGCCAGGGGAAGTGAGCTTCCTTGCATACTTTGAGTCTACTCTGGAAAGTATGCTTGAAGTTTTATGACTATCGAAAACAAAGCCAAAATATTGAATTTCGGTTTTGCTTATACTGTATACATTTATTTACATAACTATAAACAAATGTTTCAGATTAAAGTCTAAAACATGTAATTATATTTGATATGATTTTAATAGAGATTTACACTTTACAATAGAATAAATTTCACAGTAAATTACAGCAACCTTTCCCCTAATTTTTAACAATTGCTCGATTAGTACAGATTCCTAGGAGTGAAATAAAGTTATAAAAATAAAGTTACCAAAACTGATTTTGTTGAATATGTTAAAAATAAATGGCTAATCAATTATTTATGATCGTGCCAAACACTGAATTCTTGTGCATAGTTTGAAGGGCGTAGCATAACAAGTCACAATATGGTGGCATTTAATATTACTAAACAATTGACACACCAAATTTTAGCATCAGTTTAACCCTGTATGACATGTACAGTACAGTACCACAAACAGTTAACAAAATCAAAGGAAACTTTAATCTGATTCGAATATAGGTTGAGAGCAATTTTTGCTGCTTTAAAACAGGAAAAATACATTGACATTCAGGCCACTATGGTATCCTGTTATATCATAGATATAAAATATATTAATATATTACATTCTGTTAATGTAAAATTAGTTTGAATAGAATGTCATGAAAAAATTTACAAAAAAACATTTATTTAAATTTTAGGATATTTAACATTGTATATGTTTATGTGACTATGCTAATTTGAGTAATTTCAAAACAAAAAAAAATACCTTTGAATATNAGTTATTACTGCATTTATTATAGAAATACATTATTCTGTATGTAAATGTATATAGAGAAATACATTTATGGATATAGAAATGTATCTTTTGATATATGAAACATATATACTCTTGAGGAACTTTATACTTTAAATTTATTACATTTACTAATACTTGTCTTTTGTTTTATAGAATTTTATAGTAATAAATTAGTCAAATATAAATTTAAATAATTTTAAGTAAATAAATTATTATATATAACAAACTTTACAAACATAAAATATACAATAAGTTTTATTTAACATATATATTTTCTAATAAAATTTCAAAATGTAATGAAATAATGTTGAATATTATATTTACATACCAACAATTTGGAAATTAATTAATAATTATTATTTATATTCAAAATACACAATTTGATTATAAATTGTAAAAATACATATATATAAATTTACTTAACTACTTACATGGCTCATTTCTTCAAAAGATATGGGATATTTCGATATAAAAAAGTCATTTACTTTTAATACATTCCAAAGAGTTGAATACTAAAAAATTGTTAAAAATACACTTGATTAAGTTTATGAAAAGTTTTTAAATAGGTAAAATTCTAATCAATTTTATTGAAAGTATAATTAGAAGTCATTTTTAAAACATAGCAGATAATGATTCCATATATTAACATTTAGATCCAACTCAACGTGGTCTGAATCGATTTATATAATTATAAATTCCTTGATGAACATTTGGACTTTGATCAGAATGAATTAGATAAATATTTTTATTTAAAATTTTAAATGATAATTTTGTAAAAAAGATTGAAAATATTTAAATAAATCTTTTAAAGTTCTTTGAAATAATGTGTTTAAATAAATATAGTGAAATTATATTTTGTATTTACATATTCATTGAATTATTTAAATTTTACATAATATTTACAAAACTTAGAAATAAAGTTGATTCTATTTAAAATTTATAAAAGATAATTGGAATTATTAGAATTAAATTATAATTTGAATAATACTGTATTTAAAACAAACAATATATGAATTGATACTATATAATGATTAATGCACTACATTATAATTATCTCTATGTAAAGATCCATGATTCTGCCTATAACATGCATACTTATTTAATGAAAAAACAATAAAAATTACTTTTCAATTCTGATAAAAAAAGATTTATTTATTTCGTTTTTCATAAAACAGTACTTACAATATACATTTCAATATTTCCTAAATCCATTTTAGGATTTGCTGAAGGTACAGGACCCGATGGAAGCGGCAAATACTAAAATAATTAAAATATATATTATTTATTCAGAAGTCTATTTAAAGATGAATTTGATAATAAAAATTAAAATTTTACGTACTTTTGTATCATTTATGCCACTACCAAAGCATACACGTCCTTGATTTTCTACTAGAATTGTAATATTTTGGTTTGGTCTTACCACAATTGGTAAAGAATAAATATTTTCACCACGACTCAAAATACCTTGTAAAGTCTAAATAATATATAAAATAAAGATTAAATAAAAATCAGAATAAATTTCAAATAAAAATATGCATTTCAATTTTACCTGGTCTACATATACATATCCTCTGTCTCGAAGGCCAGGAACATAAAGCATAACTGGATCGGTAGTAAGAAAAGAAACCATAGTTGTATACACAGCAAATCCATAACCCTGAAATAAACAAAGGAATAAAAAGTTTGATTTAAATATAAATTCATACTTTTTAAAACCAAAATAATAGATAGAATTATAGATTCAAAATGCTCATATATTTAAAAAATCAAAAAATTCTTTTTCAGAATTTTACAACTTTTATCTCATGATTTTGAACACACTTCTAAAGATGTTTCCTTCTTAGGAACAAGATTGTAGTTAAGAAAGAAACAGAACATTTGTGTCAACCATCCTTACTTCTGTATGATAAAAGACTTGTCAAAGACAAGACTGTTCAACTGGCAATCTGCAGGCTGCATTCAGCTCACGAAACAATTTTTGCAGCCCATGAACATCTTCAAAAAAAAATTATTCAAAATATTTCATACATATTAGTGGACATAGAACTTGTGACTCAACAAATTTGGCCACAAACTTCCCATTAGCCAACTTTCATTTTAATCTATATTACTATTACAGTAGATTTTTATGTTATGAAATAAATTATGTTCACATATAATCAAATTTATATACAGTACATATAATTTATTAGTTTTTAATCAATAAAAAATATTACAACTTATAATTATTTTATTCTGCTGTTGTTTAAAAACAATTGTTTTGATAACTAATAAACATTTTAAAATCTATGTTTTTTTCCTGCATCAACGTTTCATTATATACAATATATTCTTATAAGACATTTTTATTTAGAAGTTAACCTAATCTAATTTATACATAACACAGTATTACATTCTATCTCTTAATATTTATAGTCAATTTTGGCTTACTAAAACTTTGGAGAAATAAAATTGGTTCACACTAATATAAAAGTTGGACAGCCCTGGACAAAGATATATTACATAAATAACTTTACTTAAAGCATGAAGCACTTTTTCAATGATGCAAAGAAAAGCAGATATTTTTAACTTCTGTTTTAGTTTTTAATGATATTTTCTCTTTCAATCTTAAATCATATTGAAATGTTCAAAGAAAATATTAAAACAATCATTTGCATTTAAATATAATTGATTCATTTTAATAGGTGTTTTAAACAGTAATGACACTTATTATCTAATTTAATTCAATTATTCCAGATTATTAATTATCAAGAGATATTTGTTACAAATTACTTATCAGTTATTACTGCATTTATTATAGAAATACATTATTCTGTATGTAAATGTATATAGAGAAATACATTTATGGATATAGAAATGTATCTTTTGATATATGAAACATATATACTCTTGAGGAACTTTATACTTTAAATTTATTACATTTACTAATACTTGTCTTTTGTTTTATAGAATTTTATAGTAATAAATTAGTCAAATATAAATTTAAATAATTTTAAGTAAATAAATTATTATATATAACAAACTTTACAAACATAAAATATACAATAAGTTTTATTTAACATATATATTTTCTAATAAAATTTCAAAATGTAATGAAATAATGTTGAATATTATATTTACATACCAACAATTTGGAAATTAATTAATAATTATTATTTATATTCAAAATACACAATTTGATTATAAATTGTAAAAATACATATATATAAATTTACTTAACTACTTACATGGCTCATTTCTTCAAAAGATATGGGATATTTCGATATAAAAAAGTCATTTACTTTTAATACATTCCAAAGAGTTGAATACTAAAAAATTGTTAAAAATACACTTGATTAAGTTTATGAAAAGTTTTTAAATAGGTAAAATTCTAATCAATTTTATTGAAAGTATAATTAGAAGTCATTTTTAAAACATAGCAGATAATGATTCCATATATTAACATTTAGATCCAACTCAACGTGGTCTGAATCGATTTATATAATTATAAATTCCTTGATGAACATTTGGACTTTGATCAGAATGAATTAGATAAATATTTTTATTTAAAATTTTAAATGATAATTTTGTAAAAAAGATTGAAAATATTTAAATAAATCTTTTAAAGTTCTTTGAAATAATGTGTTTAAATAAATATAGTGAAATTATATTTTGTATTTACATATTCATTGAATTATTTAAATTTTACATAATATTTACAAANAAAGTATATATATATATATATATTTTTTTTTTTTAAACTGTGAAATATATATATATAATAATAGACTCATTCAAATAGTATTAAACATTTTGTTGTGAAAATACACTCATCACACCTCAAAGCCCAAAGTAATGTAATTCTTTGGGCTTTGAGGTGTGCAAAGTAATGAAATTCTGCACACCATAAACGTTACAAATCAAACAATGACAAGCCCAGTCTAGCAATTAATGCAAACTGACCACTATCAGAGATAGTTTTACTATTTACTAATATACATTTACGAACTGTTATTCAATTATATATTCTTGTACTGTAATAATAATATGATTTTTTTTATTTTGTTTACTACCATTCCATATGCAGAATTTGACTACTATTGCATGCCAGTTTTAAAGTGTGCCAAGTTTTTTTGTAACAGTGTTTATTTAATATTTTACTGTTAACTTTTTAAATATTATTTCTAAAACGTTTTCCAATTGAAAAGTACTAATATTATTTTGATGTATGACCAATAGCATAAAATTATTTTAGTAACAGTACTTAGCAGTTTTTCATTGTGGTTAATTTTTAATGAAACTATAATATTACTTTTTTATAAAGTTTGAGACTGTCTCAAAGTTTTTATAACTTGACAAAACAATTGTTATTTACATTTATTATTATTAAGTATAAATAACATAACTTTTTTTAAGTTTCTATGGTAAAGATTGAAAGAAATACAGTCAAACCCTGGTCTTTGGATGCCTCACTTTTTGAACAATTCAGTTCACAAACAGAATTTAAAATTCATAATTGCACTGTTTGTCATACAATTGCCGAACAAGCTACTCGGCAAGAGCCAAGGTTAGAGAGAGACAGATGCTCAACTCCCTACACTTCCTATGTTAAAGAAAGTCGACGGCCTGACCAATCAATGACAGGACTACCGATTCAGAAGTTAGTGGCACTGAGATTGCCCCACATCATTAGACATCATGACAAAAATCATTGATGATGTTTCTACTTAAATTAGACTTCAATGCATATGTGGAAAAGATACTATTTCCATTTTTCAGTATGTGCCACAGTTAAATCTAAATCAAAGTAATCAATAAAAACCATGTTAATTGGCATTCATGTAATAAAAATGGCATCCAAAAATTCCTGTTTAAACATGCTTATGTTAAATGAAATAACAGAAATTTATTAATATATTATATTATATTTTATACTTATTAATATAATATTATATTGCATTTGTAGGCATTTTTATGCATGAAATATAGCTAAGGTAAAAAAAAAAGTTTTATGTTGAAAGGTCAGAAACAGAATAATCCATTTTATATTGTTTCTTATGGGAAATTTTGTTTTGGTTTTAGAAAAAAATCAGTTTTTGAACAACTTTTAGGAATGAATTATGTTTGAAAATAAAGGTTTGACTGTACCTATAAACTGCTATTTTATCAGCCATTAATTAATTAAATATCTGAAACAAAAAACCTATGATTATAATTTTTAATCTTTTCCTATAAAATTATATCTTTCCTTTTTTTACAAATTAAAAATTTTACTTCAAATATTGTCCTTTGTAATTTATGCTGCTACGTAATCGTAAATGATACGTTTCTGTGCATTTAATTTAGAACATTTATTGGTGGAATTGTGCTTACAGTATTTTATAATTAAATAATTAAAAAGTGATTCATTATCGTTTAAATATAATTTTTCTTTTTTGAGATTTATTATTAAGACTTTTGATTTTAATACATTAATTATGCATTCTATCACAACAGTCATTGGCTGATTATCTGATTAATATATTAATAGAACAATTATAGGATCATTTTTAATTACACAAAGCAATTATACAAAAATATTTTAAAAAATAATTACCATTAGAAAAACCAAATGATGTACCTCCATGAAACATATAGCTATAAAATACAGGAAAACATATTAATAATAATCAAATTTTTGAATAATAATATATTCTAGAATATAACATTTTTTAATCTATACACTTAACAATAAAGAATTAAATAAAAAATTAATTAATATAAAAACTAGATAACTGAAAAGTATAGAGTAAAAATGTTTCTTATATTTCCACAAACATTTCTTAAGGACAGACAATTTGCCAAATTATCAAGCTATGATTAGGCTAAGTTAATAATTATATATGAAGAAATTTGTCTAGAGGTAGATGGTTAAGCTATCATCTCATGATAATTTTAATAATTGTAATAAATAAATTTTAATTTAGAATTTCTGGAAAAAAAGAATCTGTCAAGAGCAGGACTCGAACCCACAATTTCTGCTTATTGTGCAGATGTATTGGCAGTTACACTTGTTACCTGGACCTCCATCCAACAAAAATCAGGTTTCTCAAGTTGTTTGTTTATATTTCTTAAGTACTTTTTGATATTTAAAAAAATTTTTAACAGATGAATCACAAGAAAAAGATTAGTTATTAAAAAAAGTGTAAAACAAAATTAGACTAATTTTGCATCTTTTCTACTTTTCTTTACTATAAACAATAATATTAAAATAAAAATACACTGCCTCACATAATCCACACAAAATTACAGTAATTATTTCTGTTAATATTTCGCATTAAAATATATATCAGTGTATTTCTGAGACACACTACATAATTAGTATTAAAAAAGATTAAAATTATGTAAGTATTCGTTATAGCAGGGCTTCTTAAACTATGGGTTGCAACCCCACATGGGGTCGCGAAATTTTAATGTAAAATATTGAAAATAATTTGTGAGAGTTTGAAAGTGAGGCATGCTTTGTGTCACAGGTTTTGTGAGTTGCGCTTTGTGTCACTTCTGGTGCAGCGAGAAAACGATTCAGCAACACTGATTGTAGTGTAAACTAGCATAGTGTTGTCGCTTTTCAGTGTATTCAGTTGTCTCTATTCCATTGTAACACAAGAGTGAACTGTGGTAGCACACCATTATTGTTTTTGCAAATTTGCATATATCTTTATTTTATATTTTTTGGGTCATGAAAAAAATCACAATCATAAATGGGGTCGTGAATAAAAAAAGTTTAAGAAGCCCTGCATTATAGGTTGACACCTACAATGAATACTTACAAAATTAACATTGGAAATGATTCGATTTTTAAAAAGTTTCAACAGTATTGTATTGCATGAAACTATTGAAACTTTTAAAATAATGATACAAACACTCGGATATAAATGTTGTAAATAATAAATCTGTAAAGTAGTGACCTCTTAGCAGAGGGGAACAAAAGAGGCGCGACCTTGTCAATTGGACCCACGTGCGGTCGGGTAATACCACTTGTAAAGTATTGACTTGTAAACAAGGGTAAGCAAAGGAAGCGCCGGCTTTGTTAATTGGACCCACCTGCAGTCAGACAGTAATACAATTGCCATATCTGGTCTTTGGATGCCTCACTTTTTGAACAATTCAGTTCACAAACAGAATTTAAAATTCATAATTGCACTGTTTGTCATACAATTGCCGAACAAGCTACTCGGCAAGAGCCAAGGTTAGAGAGAGACAGATGCTCAACTCCCTACACTTCCTATGTTAAAGAAAGTCGACGGCCTGACCAATCAATGACAGGACTACCGATTCAGAAGTTAGTGGCACTGAGATTGCCCCACATCATTAGACATCATGACAAAAATCATTGATGATGTTTCTACTTAAATTAGACTTCAATGCATATGTGGAAAAGATACTATTTCCATTTTTCAGTATGTGCCACAGTTAAATCTAAATCAAAGTAATCAATAAAAACCATGTTAATTGGCATTCATGTAATAAAAATGGCATCCAAAAATTCCTGTTTAAACATGCTTATGTTAAATGAAATAACAGAAATTTATTAATATATTATATTATATTTTATACTTATTAATATAATATTATATTGCATTTGTAGGCATTTTTATGCATGAAATATAGCTAAGGTAAAAAAAAAAGTTTTATGTTGAAAGGTCAGAAACAGAATAATCCATTTTATATTGTTTCTTATGGGAAATTTTGTTTTGGTTTTAGAAAAAAATCAGTTTTTGAACAACTTTTAGGAATGAATTATGTTTGAAAATAAAGGTTTGACTGTACCTATAAACTGCTATTTTATCAGCCATTAATTAATTAAATATCTGAAACAAAAAACCTATGATTATAATTTTTAATCTTTTCCTATAAAATTATATCTTTCCTTTTTTTACAAATTAAAAATTTTACTTCAAATATTGTCCTTTGTAATTTATGCTGCTACGTAATCGTAAATGATACGTTTCTGTGCATTTAATTTAGAACATTTATTGGTGGAATTGTGCTTACAGTATTTTATAATTAAATAATTAAAAAGTGATTCATTATAGTTTAAATATAATTTTTCTTTTTTGAGATTTATTATTAAGACTTTTGATTTTAATACATTAATTATGCATTCTATCACAACAGTCATTGGCTGATTATCTGATTAATATATTAATAGAACAATTATAGGATCATTTTTAATTACACAAAGCAATTATACAAAAATATTTTAAAAAATAATTACCATTAGAAAAACCAAATGATGTACCTCCATGAAACATATAGCTATAAAATACAGGAAAACATATTAATAATAATCAAATTTTTGAATAATAATATATTCTAGAATATAACATTTTTTAATCTATACACTTAACAATAAAGAATTAAATAAAAAATTAATTAATATAAAAACTAGATAACTGAAAAGTATAGAGTAAAAATGTTTCTTATATTTCCACAAACATTTCTTAAGGACAGACAATTTGCCAAATTATCAAGCTATGATTAGGCTAAGTTAATAATTATATATGAAGAAATTTGTCTAGAGGTAGATGGTTAAGCTATCATCTCATGATAATTTTAATAATTGTAATAAATAAATTTTAATTTAGAATTTCTGGAAAAAAAGAATCTGTCAAGAGCAGGACTCGAACCCACAATTTCTGCTTATTGTGCAGATGTATTGGCAGTTACACTTGTTACCTGGACCTCCATCCAACAAAAATCAGGTTTCTCAAGTTGTTTGTTTATATTTCTTAAGTACTTTTTGATATTTAAAAAAATTTTTAACAGATGAATCACAAGAAAAAGATTAGTTATTAAAAAAAGTGTAAAACAAAATTAGACTAATTTTGCATCTTTTCTACTTTTCTTTACTATAAACAATAATATTAAAATAAAAATACACTGCCTCACATAATCCACACAAAATTACAGTAATTATTTCTGTTAATATTTCGCATTAAAATATATATCAGTGTATTTCTGAGACACACTACATAATTAGTATTAAAAAAGATTAAAATTATGTAAGTATTCGTTATAGCAGGGCTTCTTAAACTATGGGTTGCAACCCCACATGGGGTCGCGAAATTTTAATGTAAAATATTGAAAATAATTTGTGAGAGTTTGAAAGTGAGGCATGCTTTGTGTCACAGGTTTTGTGAGTTGCGCTTTGTGTCACTTCTGGTGCAGCGAGAAAACGATTCAGCAACACTGATTGTAGTGTAAACTAGCATAGTGTTGTCGCTTTTCAGTGTATTCAGTTGTCTCTATTCCATTGTAACACAAGAGTGAACTGTGGTAGCACACCATTATTGTTTTTGCAAATTTGCATATATCNCCTCCCTGGCTATGCCCATGGTTGAGACCTAACAATCGATCAAAAAACCAATTTTACTGTAAAATAAACACGTACAGCCTTGGTGATAAAATTGTAGTTTTTTAATGTAGTGTAGGACCTACAAACACTTGTCTTTTTCTTTTACCCGTGACCCCCGTGTAAGGCTTTGCGATCCCTCTGGGGGTCGCGACCCACAGGTTGAAAAACACTGTCATAGAGGAAGGAAACAAGTAAGTTTGTAATCTTTCACAATTATGATTGTTGAATTTACTTTATAAACCATAAAACTGATCCTATGAGGTAAAAAACAAACATGGTTGCAAACATTGATCCTGTTAGAATAATAATAACTGAATTACATCATTTATCCTATGTTAAAGTTGGTTTTGTTGCATATTGTTTCACGTAATGAATGTTACAGTTTCCAAGACCCTATCAATTGCATTAAATGAAGACTTGTTAAAATACAAAATAAATATTAATTAATTGCAATTTTTTTTGTTCTGTTTTCATCTGTTTAGTTCCTCCTTAGCCCACTATTCTGCATTACTCTATGTACCGCGTACAGGATAATCATAATTAAAGTATCCCTATTAAGAGAGACATAGAGAGACATCTACCAGATATAATTGGATCAAACTTGGTAAAAATATTATCCAGGAGATGCAGAAGTGATCCTCATAAAAAGAAATTTAGTTTCAAAACAGACATTACAAAAACATATGGACACAATAACAATTACAAATTATATGGAATAGTATCTAGATTTTAAAAATGTGAAATATTAGAATAAATGTGTGCTTTTACAAACTTTAATCTACTCTTATTCCAATGATATACCAGAAAAATCTTTAATCTTGCTTGTCAAATCTTGCTAATGAATACATAATCCACCTTTATGGGGCTGTGAAATAAGTAAAATCATGACAGGTGTGCTTTTATGACAATTGTTGATGGGCTGATATGTATAAACAGATGTTTGCACATGCTAGCCTATGTTTTTGGTCTTGAGAAAACAAATTCAAGGAGACTGGACATGAAAAAAACAATTTTTATTACATGAACTTTACATAAACCTCAAACAGACTACAGTACATTAGTAACATTAGTGATGGAATGGAAATTCCTCAGTGTAGACTCCATTATTGTCTATTAGAACTTACAAATGGTGAACATTGTGCAGAACACAACTGATCTGTAATGTTATTCATGTGCAATTTTATTCTGTCTTTTAAAACAGTATGGTTAGGAACCTTAATCTAATTCATGACACTTTTTAGATGACCCCAACCAAAACCCACAGGTTAATGTATGGGGAACGAGGTATTGGACAGCACCACATTGATTTCTGGTGGTGGGATCTTAAACTAGAAGTTTTTATGATTATCACTTCTGCATGCTTTGATAGTATTATTGAGTTTTGTCTATTACATCCAGTAGACATCTCTCTAGATGTCTTTAAATAAATATACTTTAATTACTGTATTGAACTGTAAAAATTAATAAATTAACCTATGAAAATATAATGTTTTTCTTTAAAACCACACCCTTTTAAAAATCCTGTACACATGCCTGGTCCTCTGCTTTTTTTCAAAAGAAATGGATAATTCTTTCTTAGTTCAAAAGGAAGTATAGACAAATTGAGTGAATTACAAGATCTATAAAAATATTAACAGAAATTATGCAAAAATTTTAATTATATTATCATATCATTCAACATGGAGACAAGATAGATTTTAAAGTTTACTAAACTTTATTGAACTTTACATTTAATGATATGTTATTATTTCACTTTAAAAATGCTAATACAAAATTCTGAACTATAGACGTTCATTTCAAGTAATATATTTTTTACTCAAAAAATAATTTTATAATTAATTTTAATTTCCAATTAACCGATATATAACCGACAGCAATGATATTTTAGAGTAAAAAGATTGACATTTCATTTTTCTGTTACTCGTATTATGCACAAAAAGTATACACAAACACTGCTTTCAAGTTAAAGCTAAATGATTGCCAGATTAGATCAGGCTATATTACTGCTACTATTAATAATTAGAACACTTAAATAATTTGGCCTAGACTTAGGTATTAGGTGCAATCTCTTATTAAATTTAATAATTATAATTAATTTAGAAAGTTCTGGAAGAAAAGAATTGACCTAGAGTGAGACTTGAACCTGCAAACTCCCACTCACTGTACAGTTGCATTGCCAGTTACGCTACCCTGACCTCTGTCCAATCTTCACTTTCAGAACTATTAATTTAGATATAACTACACTGGTTACTCACAGCATTGACTGGAGATAACTCAGCAATAATGACCAATAACTCCCACTATGACACTCAACCAGCTATGTCTCTGTATTTATAAATATAAACATCTGTATGTCTGACAGTTATATTAAAGCTAAATGATTACCAGATGTTTATATTTGTATATATACACCATGCCGAAATAAAGCAATAGTCAGCTGTGTAACATAGTGGGAGTTATAGGACATGGGTGCTGAGTCATCTCCAGTTGGCACTGTGAGCAACCTGTATGGTTATATCTAAATTAATAGTTCTGAAAGCAAAAATCAGTTGGTAGTCTCAATAGCATAACTGGCAATGCAACCGCACAGTAAGTGGGTGTTTGCAAGTTCAAATCTCACTCTAGGTCAATTCTTTTCTTCCAGAACTTTCTAAATTAATTAATAAATGTTAAATTTTATTAAATTTAATAATTATAATTGAGATTGCACCTAATGCTCATCTCTAGACCAAATTACATAACATTTTAATTATTAATAATATCACAAATATAGCCTGATCTAATCTGGTGATCAGCTTTAACTAATAAGCTTACAGATGTTTGGGCTGCAATTTTCAAATTGCAGACCTGTAAGTTTCCACTGGATTCATCCATCTGTTTGTCCTTCCTTTAATATTTAAAATGGAGTAAGATAGATAAAAGTCAAGACCAGAAATATGGAAAACTTAGGGGCAGGAGACCCTGATTAACTATATACAAACTTCTGGTTTGGACTGGAAGTCACATTATTTTAATTCAAAAATTTTCTCTAGAACAAAGTTAGATAGATGACCAGCACGACTCTGTTATTATCAGAAAAAGTACGATGTGCAGGGGCAAGACTACTAAAATCGAGAGCATATATTTTAAATTGATTTAAAATATTGAAAGTGCAGTCTGACATTATGACGATGTCACAATAGATAATTGCTTGTTATAACTGCTTTTAAGGATTAAGCAAGATATTTATTTAACTAATATCTTTTGAGTGATCTTGCAACTATAATCATAGCACATCATTTAGATTTGAATAGCTAAAAAAAATACATTTTGATGATGAACACAAAAACACTTAAAATTATTAAATAAAATACATTTTTTAATTTAATTTGTGTTTTTAAATTTAAATTTTTTTCAACTTATAAATGATTTGAGTATGTGAATTTAATTAATAATTTTTTCTAATTAATAGCAAAATTAAGCTTACCAGAACCAAAATCAATAGTTGCAAAAACTCCATTAATTCTTCCACAAACCAAATCTGAACTACTACTTCCATCAGTTGTAAAGAAGATAACACTGTCGTTAAAGTGTTGTAAATATAGATCCCTAAGATGATTTGTATATTTAAAATCACATGCTGAATAACTACCATATTCATTTTCTATCTATATGAAATATTTAATTTAATTATTTCAATAATAACTTTTTTTTTATGATAAAGCATTTCAAATTTAATTACCTGAATGGAAATTACAGGACCTCCATTTGAATACAAAAGTGGTTTTAATTTTGGGAACAGAATATTAAACCATCGATCGACATAATACAAATAATCTATAATAAAATAATATTTAATCAATATGATAATTAATATTTACTAATAATAACTTATTTAATTATAAAAGTATTAAATAAAAAATATAAAACTTAAGAGAAAACTAAAAATATATAAACTTCACTGTTGGAATGATATTCAAATAAGTTATGTTTAAATTTTAAGTACAAATAATTCATACATGAAATTACATAAATATATGATTTATCACTTTTATTTATTTAATAAGATTATTGAATATGAAAAGTATAATAAATAATAAACATGCATAGGAAAATTTAATTTTGAAAAAATTATTTGATATGATTTTCAGTTGCATAGACTTTAAAATATTTAAAAGAAACAAACATATTAATAATATGTAAACATGTTTCTTTTGAACAAGTTGAATGGCACTCTTGACAATGGATGTTCTCCGCTTTAACTCCAGCAGACCTCTGCAAATATTTCTAACTAAAACTCATGTTTAAAGTTAACTTCTTAATATAGAAATTATAATAATAAAAATTCAGTATAAATGAACAATATATTATATGCTGTTTCCAAAAGTCCAGCATAAGCAAAGGCATACTAAAGTATTTTATTATTGTATTCTGTAATCCTATGCTGTGTAAACTATTAATATTTTATTGGAAGTGTTGATTACTTAATCAACACTTCCAATAACTATTGGTAGACCTGATAATAAAATCTTTATTACACTTAAGATAACTGAATATTTGTAATGGTGTTCTATTTGTATCCTGTTGCCCGGATTGCTTTTCATATGAATTACAAAATATATATTTATTGAAAAACTATTACTATTAGTGTGTCAATTAAAAAAAAAATCTGTGATTTTATTATAGACTTTAATCACATGCATATTTGGATGTCAGCTTATGCAACTTCCAAACCTATGACAAATCTAAACTAGAATTTTGAGCTGAAAATCTTGAGGTTGACTTATACACCAGCAACTATTATAAATTAATATCCAAATTTAAATTATATATTAATCATTTTAAGATAGATTATTGAACACTGATATAAAAAGATTTCAATAATCAAATGTATGATAATTAAAATTTTATCATTTAGCAGTTTTCTTTCTGCAATCATTCATTTCTGCTAAATATTGTTGTAGAAATATTTGGCTACATTATCATTATTTTGAAAAATAATTAAATTCTTTTACTTCTATGAATGAGTCAATGAATTTAATTTGGACACAGTCCATTTATTTTTTAATTTATTAATTATTAATTGAAATTATTTATTCAATAATCTAAATTCAGTTTATAAACATATTGTATATGATTCATAAAACTATCTGTGTATAGTATTGTATATTATTATAAATTATAAAGCAAACCTGCGTCACTTGTTCTTAGTTGCATATCAGGCTTGACTTTTAATAACCAATATGGTAAGCCACCCTATAAAATATTAATTAGTATAACAATAGACTAAGATTTCATGTAATTATAAATATACTTTTATATATCAAAATATAATTAAAAGGATATTCAATACAGACCATTTCTCTTTCTGCATCAATAAATGGTCCAGGTCTTAGAATCACTAATAAACCGACTTTACCAGCTGTTTGAATATAATTTACAATATCATAATTATCTTCAAAAATATAAGTTCCTGGCTCAGGTTCATGAGAATTCCATTCAATATATCTATAATTAAAAGAAATCATATCATTTAGTTTAATTTTGTTTAAACAGAACAAAAATTAAACCATTAATTCATTTGTATATAAAATATCTTCCCAAAATGAAAAATCCATTTCTAAATTCTTATATAAATGTTAGATGATGTTATTTTATCCTATTTTCTATATTTTAATTCACATAAAGTTTTTTCTTACGATATATTTATGATAATTATTTTATTATGATTCTTTAATACTTACTTCATATATATCATTTAATTACATATGTTGCCATATGTTACATATGTTAGAAGGATTTATTTTTTATCTCTCTACTTTTTTGTAGATTCATCCTTCATTATATGAATTTAAAAATAAATAAAAACAAATTCTAATCTTTTAGAAAATCTATTCCTTTTTTTAAATCTAATAATATGCTGGATTATAGCTGTGATCATGTTTATAATTTTAGCTATTTTTCCTTGTTGATTTTTAAATCAGTGACGAATGAAACTTTATGCAAATTAATGAATGTTTAACTTTTATTAATATAATAAAAAAGTACAAAAGTATTTTATATACAGTGTAGTTTAACTGTAAAATAAAATACATATACATATATAGTAATCAAATGTTAAACAACCTTCATTTGATTTAGATATTAGACTTAAAGATTTTCCTATAGAACTTATAATATTACAAGCATTAAAAGTTAACAAGTTATCTCTTGAAAGACTTAACACCAAACAAGTATAATATTTCCCTTAAAGAATTAAGAAAGATCTCTTAAGAAAGATATTCATTTGAACTCCAAAAAGAAAATAAAACTGTACATGCATTATGTTTTCCCTTATTATTATAACCTACATAAAATTTTTGTTCATACATTATAATGACAAATATTTTATGCACATTTGTTTGTCTCTTCCTTACATAATCACTAAAAATAGGCAAAAATGAACAGCAAATAAAACTTAACATAGTTATGAACATTATTGCTAATATAAATTTCACCAAAACTATTATTCATAAATGTTACTTCTTATATAAATTTAATAAATCAGATTTAAATTTCAAACATATTTTTTATGAAACATTATAAGAATTTAAAAACCAATCAAGGATGTGATAGTAAAAAATTGAAAAATCAGTTCTTTATTTTGTAATTTTTACGATATTATTATTCCCACGTATAGAAAAACTACACTACTACTGTAAAAAAGATTGCTATGTAAATAAGAATAGTAAAAATGCTAAAATAGGTAAAGGAGTTCAAGAATTTAACTATTCAAATTAAAATCTCGCTATACAGAATATTTATTTAAAATCTTTTTAACTAAAATTCTCACCTATTATTGTGATTCTTGTTTTTAGTTAAAGGATTTTAAATAAATAAATACTTTATATAGTGAGATTTTACTTTAAATAATTATGTAATCATGAAATTGTTACAATTAATAAGTAATTTATGTGAGATAAAACATTTTTTGGAATCAAACATCCTGTCATCAGATCAAACAGACTAGAAACAAAAAGAAACCTGATTTTTGTAAAAAAAATCAAAGCTATAAAATAAATAAAATAAACACTATTTTATACATTATGCCTGTCTATTGTGCATTTCATAAGTTATTCTTCATTATAGTTGTTCCTTATTTATTTATTCTAGTCAGATCTGATCTCATCTGGAGTGGGAAAGGTTACTACTGTCATGCGGGTGGAGAGTTACAGGAAATTTACCATGGACATGGGTGAAAGATGGAGGAACACATTCCCACAGTTAGGGATTTTGAAGCTGAAATGAAAGATCTTGAAAAATGTTTTATCCTTAAATTCTTTGACATCTATAATCTTGCAAATATTTTTACATTAGTTCTATTTAATATAAAGTTGTATATGTCAGCACATTTCAGTATATAAACATTTAAACATTCTATTTAAGAGCTACAGTTATACAAAGTATAGCATAAATATAAAATATAAAATCACAATTCAAGAGAGAGAATTTTTAAAATTAAAAAACATTTCTCACGTTTGTAGAGCATTCAGACCAGCTGCTTTCATTTTCAACATTCTGTCTTCCCATAATGATGATGGTACTCTAAAGTAATGCATGGATCCCGAAACATAACGAAAAGGCTTTCCATCTTTCAAAAAACAATTATTATCGTAATCAATAGTAAATGATCTGCTACCACTAACCTGAAATGTAATAGTTCAATTATAATTTATTATAAATTTAAACCCACTATTTCATATATTATATTTTGTATAACAAGAGAATTGTGATATTAGAATCAAAAACATAAATTTATTGTCAATCAATAAATTTATAAAGTTGATGACTAACATCATATACAATTTCAAAAACAAAACATTTTATTGTTGAATAATTAAAGTAAGAACAATCCATAAAATTATTATTTATATTGAGCTATTATTTAAACAATGCCAATTATCAATTTTATATTTCAAATAATGGGCAAATTTTTACATATTCGTACACAATTTTTAAATGATTTATGATTATTACAATAAACAAAACTTGGCCCCATGTTTATTATTTTTCTTAAAGCTGCTAGTTAGGGAAACCAAACATGACAAGATTTATGATTATATTTACAGCTAAAGAAAATAATTTATACAGTAAACACATAAGAACCCAGATCCCACCAACTCAAACTTTGCATATTGCAGACAGATTCTTTTGAAAAATGGTACAGCAATTTAAAATTTCTTAACAGTAAGATAATTATAATTAATGAGTGTTTTTGATATCCAGAAGTCTTTGTGATACTGTGTATTATATTACTGTAGTTAGTAAGTTACTAAACATTGCAAATTGCTATATATTGTACTGTTATGAAATTTTTTGAGCTTATTTTCTGTAATAATTCAGCAGTATAACCTACTAAATCACTAAAACTCTGTATAAAGCCAATCACAATAAATTACTATACTGTATATCTATCTTCTCATTTGTTATCTCATTGGGGAAAACACCCCACTAACTCAGACAACTTTCACTCCCTTTTAGTCCAAGTTAGTGAAGGTTTACTACATATCGTATTTGAATCAGTTTTGTTGGATAATAAATTATTTTCAAATGTAAAAATTTCTTTAGAAAGTTTTTCGTATTCTGTTATTATTAAATAGATGTGTTAGAGATGAATTAATTATTGATTGACCAATACTTACCTCTGTATGTATACATATGTACGTAAATAAATTTATTAGCATTTAATTTAATATACAAAAATTACGTAAAGTGATGATTAAAAATGACAATCAGCTACTCCAAATATAATCATTTGCAATTATTTTGTGTAGATTCAGAAGAAAATTTAATTTTATTNAAAAAATATGAAAACAATAACAATTATAAATTATATGGAATAGCATCTAGATTTAAAAAATACAAAATATTAAATTGATATATTAAAAAAGCTATTAATTAATCAATGTGTGCTTTTACACAATCTTTAATCTGCTCTTTCGAATGATATAACAGAAAAATCTTTAATCTTGCTTGTCATTCAACACTTTTATACTTCAACTTTATAAATTTTATAGAAATAATGTCTAAGAAACTCATAGTTCAGATCATCTTTTAATTTCACTTATCCAATTGCTTAAGCACACAGTCAATTTTTATTAATTTCTGATAATCCTGTTGAAAATCATAGCATAGGTTTTGTCAGAAGCTATTCTAAACAACAACCTAAATACAGATATAAATTCAGATCTTTATAACTAATTATAATGTTTAGTCCACTGCAAGACCATGCGCATGGGAGTTTTTGCAGGTTTAACCATTTAACCCCTCCCATTGGAGAAGAAATTAAATAAAAAAAAATACAGCAAGATCTCACTTAACATCATTTTGTTATAATGTCATAGAGCAGTGTTTTTCAACCTTCTTGAATACGCAACCCCTTTACAACTTAAAAAATTCTGGCAACCCCCCCTAGGGCCATATTATAACTGTATCAGTGATTTTAAAAACTATGTATTTAGTTTTCTTTCTGTTGAGACAGATTATTGCTGATTAAAACGAAAGTTTCAGGAGAATCGACAATAACTTAACACACGTAAGGTATGAAACTTCCTTTAATTATAACATTAGGCACAGGGACCTGTTGACCTTTTTTTTTTTTTTAGGATCAAAATTTTCAGATTCTACTTTTCTACTTTTTATTTCTTTTTGCAAATCAGCTCAACACTTTTGCGGCTATGATTTTCTGGGGTGGGCCGTATCCACCCAGGTCCCTCCCTGGCTATGCCCATGGTTGAGACCTAACAATCGATCAAAAAACCAATTTTACTGTAAAATAAACACGTACAGCCTTGGTGATAAAATTGTAGTTTTTTAATGTAGTGTAGGACCTACAAACACTTGTCTTTTTCTTTTACCCGTGACCCCCGTGTAAGGCTTTGCGATCCCTCTGGGGGTCGCGACCCACAGGTTGAAAAACACTGTCATAGAGGAAGGAAACAAGTAAGTTTGTAATCTTTCACAATTATGATTGTTGAATTTACTTTATAAACCATAAAACTGATCCTATGAGGTAAAAAACAAACATGGTTGCAAACATTGATCCTGTTAGAATAATAATAACTGAATTACATCATTTATCCTATGTTAAAGTTGGTTTTGTTGCATATTGTTTCACGTAATGAATGTTACAGTTTCCAAGACCCTATCAATTGCATTAAATGAAGACTTGTTAAAATACAAAATAAATATTAATTAATTGCAATTTTTTTTGTTCTGTTTTCATCTGTTTAGTTCCTCCTTAGCCCACTATTCTGCATTACTCTATGTACCGCGTACAGGATAATCATAATTAAAGTATCCCTATTAAGAGAGACATAGAGAGACATCTACCAGATATAATTGGATCAAACTTGGTAAAAATATTATCCAGGAGATGCAGAAGTGATCCTCATAAAAAGAAATTTAGTTTCAAAACAGACATTACAAAAACATATGGACACAATAACAATTACAAATTATATGGAATAGTATCTAGATTTTAAAAATGTGAAATATTAGAATAAATGTGTGCTTTTACAAACTTTAATCTACTCTTATTCCAATGATATACCAGAAAAATCTTTAATCTTGCTTGTCAAATCTTGCTAATGAATACATAATCCACCTTTATGGGGCTGTGAAATAAGTAAAATCATGACAGGTGTGCTTTTATGACAATTGTTGATGGGCTGATATGTATAAACAGATGTTTGCACATGCTAGCCTATGTTTTTGGTCTTGAGAAAACAAATTCAAGGAGACTGGACATGAAAAAAACAATTTTTATTACATGAACTTTACATAAACCTCAAACAGACTACAGTACATTAGTAACATTAGTGATGGAATGGAAATTCCTCAGTGTAGACTCCATTATTGTCTATTAGAACTTACAAATGGTGAACATTGTGCAGAACACAACTGATCTGTAATGTTATTCATGTGCAATTTTATTCTGTCTTTTAAAACAGTATGGTTAGGAACCTTAATCTAATTCATGACACTTTTTAGATGACCCCAACCAAAACCCACAGGTTAATGTATGGGGAACGAGGTATTGGACAGCACCACATTGATTTCTGGTGGTGGGATCTTAAACTAGAAGTTTTTATGATTATCACTTCTGCATGCTTTGATAGTATTATTGAGTTTTGTCTATTACATCCAGTAGACATCTCTCTAGATGTCTTTAAATAAATATACTTTAATTACTGTATTGAACTGTAAAAATTAATAAATTAACCTATGAAAATATAATGTTTTTCTTTAAAACCACACCCTTTTAAAAATCCTGTACACATGCCTGGTCCTCTGCTTTTTTTCAAAAGAAATGGATAATTCTTTCTTAGTTCAAAAGGAAGTATAGACAAATTGAGTGAATTACAAGATCTATAAAAATATTAACAGAAATTATGCAAAAATTTTAATTATATTATCATATCATTCAACATGGAGACAAGATAGATTTTAAAGTTTACTAAAATTTATTGAACTTTACATTTAATGATATGTTATTATTTCACTTTAAAAATGCTAATACAAAATTCTGAACTATAGACGTTCATTTCAAGTAATATATTTTTTACTCAAAAAATAATTTTATAATTAATTTTAATTTCCAATTAACCGATATATAACCGACAGCAATGATATTTTAGAGTAAAAAGATTGACATTTCATTTTTCTGTTACTCGTATTATGCACAAAAAGTATACACAAACACTGCTTTCAAGTTAAAGCTAAATGATTGCCAGATTAGATCAGGCTATATTACTGCTACTATTAATAATTAGAACACTTAAATAATTTGGCCTAGACTTAGGTATTAGGTGCAATCTCTTATTAAATTTAATAATTATAATTAATTTAGAAAGTTCTGGAAGAAAAGAATTGACCTAGAGTGAGACTTGAACCTGCAAACTCCCACTCACTGTACAGTTGCATTGCCAGTTACGCTACCCTGACCTCTGTCCAATCTTCACTTTCAGAACTATTAATTTAGATATAACTACACTGGTTACTCACAGCATTGACTGGAGATAACTCAGCAATAATGACCAATAACTCCCACTATGACACTCAACCAGCTATGTCTCTGTATTTATAAATATAAACATCTGTATGTCTGACAGTTATATTAAAGCTAAATGATTACCAGANAGTCAATGAATTTAATTTGGACACAGTCCATTTATTTTTTAATTTATTAATTATTAATTGAAATTATTTATTCAATAATCTAAATTCAGTTTATAAACATATTGTATATGATTCATAAAACTATCTGTGTATAGTATTGTATATTATTATAAATTATAAAGCAAACCTGCGTCACTTGTTCTTAGTTGCATATCAGGCTTGACTTTTAATAACCAATATGGTAAGCCACCCTATAAAATATTAATTAGTATAACAATAGACTAAGATTTCATGTAATTATAAATATACTTTTATATATCAAAATATAATTAAAAGGATATTCAATACAGACCATTTCTCTTTCTGCATCAATAAATTCTCTAGACCAAATTACATAACATTTTAATTATTAATAATATCACAAATATAGCCTGATCTAATCTGGTGATCAGCTTTAACTAATAAGCTTACAGATGTTTGGGCTGCAATTTTCAAATTGCAGACCTGTAAGTTTCCACTGGATTCATCCATCTGTTTGTCCTTCCTTTAATATTTAAAATGGAGTAAGATAGATAAAAGTCAAGACCAGAAATATGGAAAACTTAGGGGCAGGAGACCCTGATTAACTATATACAAACTTCTGGTTTGGACTGGAAGTCACATTATTTTAATTCAAAAATTTTCTCTAGAACAAAGTTAGATAGATGACCAGCACGACTCTGTTATTATCAGAAAAAGTACGATGTGCAGGGGCAAGACTACTAAAATCGAGAGCATATATTTTAAATTGATTTAAAATATTGAAAGTGCAGTCTGACATTATGACGATGTCACAATAGATAATTGCTTGTTATAACTGCTTTTAAGGATTAAGCAAGATATTTATTTAACTAATATCTTTTGAGTGATCTTGCAACTATAATCATAGCACATCATTTAGATTTGAATAGCTAAAAAAAATACATTTTGATGATGAACACAAAAACACTTAAAATTATTAAATAAAATACATTTTTTAATTTAATTTGTGTTTTTAAATTTAAATTTTTTTCAACTTATAAATGATTTGAGTATGTGAATTTAATTAATAATTTTTTCTAATTAATAGCAAAATTAAGCTTACCAGAACCAAAATCAATAGTTGCAAAAACTCCATTAATTCTTCCACAAACCAAATCTGAACTACTACTTCCATCAGTTGTAAAGAAGATAACACTGTCGTTAAAGTGTTGTAAATATAGATCCCTAAGATGATTTGTATATTTAAAATCACATGCTGAATAACTACCATATTCATTTTCTATCTATATGAAATATTTAATTTAATTATTTCAATAATAACTTTTTTTTTATGATAAAGCATTTCAAATTTAATTACCTGAATGGAAATTACAGGACCTCCATTTGAATACAAAAGTGGTTTTAATTTTGGGAACAGAATATTAAACCATCGATCGACATAATACAAATAATCTATAATAAAATAATATTTAATCAATATGATAATTAATATTTACTAATAATAACTTATTTAATTATAAAAGTATTAAATAAAAAATATAAAACTTAAGAGAAAACTAAAAATATATAAACTTCACTGTTGGAATGATATTCAAATAAGTTATGTTTAAATTTTAAGTACAAATAATTCATACAGGAAATTACATAAATATATGATTTATCACTTTTATTTATTTAATAAGATTATTGAATATGAAAAGTATAATAAATAATAAACATGCATAGGAAAATTTAATTTTGAAAAAATTATTTGATATGATTTTCAGTTGCATAGACTTTAAAATATTTAAAAGAAACAAACATATTAATAATATGTAAACATGTTTCTTTTGAACAAGTTGAATGGCACTCTTGACAATGGATGTTCTCCGCTTTAACTCCAGCAGACCTCTGCAAATATTTCTAACTAAAACTCATGTTTAAAGTTAACTTCTTAATATAGAAATTATAATAATAAAAATTCAGTATAAATGAACAATATATTATATGCTGTTTCCAAAAGTCCAGCATAAGCAAAGGCATACTAAAGTATTTTATTATTGTATTCTGTAATCCTATGCTGTGTAAACTATTAATATTTTATTGGAAGTGTTGATTACTTAATCAACACTTCCAATAACTATTGGTAGACCTGATAATAAAATCTTTATTACACTTAAGATAACTGAATATTTGTAATGGTGTTCTATTTGTATCCTGTTGCCCGGATTGCTTTTCATATGAATTACAAAATATATATTTATTGAAAAACTATTACTATTAGTGTGTCAATTAAAAAAAAAATCTGTGATTTTATTATAGACTTTAATCACATGCATATTTGGATGTCAGCTTATGCAACTTCCAAACCTATGACAAATCTAAACTAGAATTTTGAGCTGAAAATCTTGAGGTTGACTTATACACCAGCAACTATTATAAATTAATATCCAAATTTAAATTATATATTAATCATTTTAAGATAGATTATTGAACACTGATATAAAAAGATTTCAATAATCAAATGTATGATAATTAAAATTTTATCATTTAGCAGTTTTCTTTCTGCAATCATTCATTTCTGCTAAATATTGTTGTAGAAATATTTGGCTACATTATCATTATTTTGAAAAATAATTAAATTCTTTTACTTCTATGAATGAGTCAATGAGTTTAATTTGGACACAGTCCATTTATTTTTTAATTTATTAATTATTAATTGAAATTATTTATTCAATAATCTAAATTCAGTTTATAAACATATTGTATATGATTCATAAAACTATCTGTGTATAGTATTGTATATTATTATAAATTATAAAGCAAACCTGCGTCACTTGTTCTTAGTTGCATATCAGGCTTGACTTTTAATAACCAATATGGTAAGCCACCCTATAAAATATTAATTAGTATAACAATAGACTAAGATTTAATGTAATTATAAATATACTTTTATATATCAAAATATAATTAAAAGGATATTCAATACAGACCATTTCTCTTTCTGCATCAATAAATGGTCCAGGTCTTAGAATCACTAATAAACCGACTTTACCAGCTGTTTGAATATAATTTACAATATCATAATTATCTTCAAAAATATAAGTTCCTGGCTCAGGTTCATGAGAATTCCATTCAATATATCTATAATTAAAAGAAATCATATCATTTAGTTTAATTTTGTTTAAACAGAACAAAAATTAAACCATTAATTCATTTGTATATAAAATATCTTCCCAAAATGAAAAATCCATTTCTAAATTCTTATATAAATGTTAGATGATGTTATTTTATCCTATTTTCTATATTTTAATTCACATAAAGTTTTTTCTTACGATATATTTATGATAATTATTTTATTATGATTCTTTAATACTTACTTCATATATATCATTTAATTACATATGTTGCCATATGTTACATATGTTAGAAGGATTTATTTTTTATCTCTCTACTTTTTTGTAGATTCATCCTTCATTATATGAATTTAAAAAGAAATAAAAACAAATTCTAATCTTTTAGAAAATCTATTCCTTTTTTTAAATCTAATAATATGCTGGATTATAGCTGTGATCATGTTTATAATTTTAGCTATTTTTCCTTGTTGATTTTTAAATCAGTGACGAATGAAACTTTATGCAAATTAATGAATGTTTAACTTTTATTAATATAATAAAAAAGTACAAAAGTATTTTATATACAGTGTAGTTTAACTGTAAAATAAAATACATATACATATATAGTAATCAAATGTTAAACAACCTTCATTTGATTTAGATATTAGACTTAAAGATTTTCCTATAGAACTTATAATATTACAAGCATTAAAAGTTAACAAGTTATCTCTTGAAAGACTTAACACCAAACAAGTATAATATTTCCCTTAAAGAATTAAGAAAGATCTCTTAAGAAAGATATTCATTTGAACTCCAAAAAGAAAATAAAACTGTACATGCATTATGTTTTCCCTTATTATTATAACCTACATAAAATTTTTGTTCATACATTATAATGACAAATATTTTATGCACATTTGTTTGTCTCTTCCTTACATAATCACTAAAAATAGGCAAAAATGAACAGCAAATAAAACTTAACATAGTTATGAACATTATTGCTAATATAAATTTCACCAAAACTATTATTCATAAATGTTACTTCTTATATAAATTTAATAAATCAGATTTAAATTTCAAACATATTTTTTATGAAACATTATAAGAATTTAAAAACCAATCAAGGATGTGATAGTAAAAAATTGAAAAATCAGTTCTTTATTTTGTAATTTTTACGATATTATTATTCCCACGTATAGAAAAACTACACTACTACTGTAAAAAAGATTGCTATGTAAATAAGAATAGTAAAAATGCTAAAATAGGTAAAGGAGTTCAAGAATTTAACTATTCAAATTAAAATCTCGCTATACAGAATATTTATTTAAAATCTTTTTAACTAAAATTCTCACCTATTATTGTGATTCTTGTTTTTAGTTAAAGGATTTTAAATAAATAAATACTTTATATAGTGAGATTTTACTTTAAATAATTATGTAATCATGAAATTGTTACAATTAATAAGTAATTTATGTGAGATAAAACATTTTTTGGAATCAAACATCCTGTCATCAGATCAAACAGACTAGAAACAAAAAGAAACCTGATTTTTGTAAAAAAAATCAAAGCTATAAAATAAATAAAATAAACACTATTTTATACATTATGCCTGTCTATTGTGCATTTCATAAGTTATTCTTCATTATAGTTGTTCCTTATTTATTTATTCTAGTCAGATCTGATCTCATCTGGAGTGGGAAAGGTTACTACTGTCATGCGGGTGGAGAGTTACAGGAAATTTACCATGGACATGGGTGAAAGATGGAGGAACACATTCCCACAGTTAGGGATTTTGAAGCTGAAATGAAAGATCTTGAAAAATGTTTTATCCTTAAATTCTTTGACATCTATAATCTTGCAAATATTTTTACATTAGTTCTATTTAATATAAAGTTGTATATGTCAGCACATTTCAGTATATAAACATTTAAACATTCTATTTAAGAGCTACAGTTATACAAAGTATAGCATAAATATAAAATATAAAATCACAATTCAAGAGAGAGAATTTTTAAAATTAAAAAACATTTCTCACGTTTGTAGAGCATTCAGACCAGCTGCTTTCATTTTCAACATTCTGTCTTCCCATAATGATGATGGTACTCTAAAGTAATGCATGGATCCCGAAACATAACGAAAAGGCTTTCCATCTTTCAAAAAACAATTATTATCGTAATCAATAGTAAATGATCTGCTACCACTAACCTGAAATGTAATAGTTCAATTATAATTTATTATAAATTTAAACCCACTATTTCATATATTATATTTTGTATAACAAGAGAATTGTGATATTAGAATCAAAAACATAAATTTATTGTCAATCAATAAATTTATAAAGTTGATGACTAACATCATATACAATTTCAAAAACAAAACATTTTATTGTTGAATAATTAAAGTAAGAACAATCCATAAAATTATTATTTATATTGAGCTATTATTTAAACAATGCCAATTATCAATTTTATATTTCAAATAATGGGCAAATTTTTACATATTCGTACACAATTTTTAAATGATTTATGATTATTACAATAAACAAAACTTGGCCCCATGTTTATTATTTTTCTTAAAGCTGCTAGTTAGGGAAACCAAACATGACAAGATTTATGATTATATTTACAGCTAAAGAAAATAATTTATACAGTAAACACATAAGAACCCAGATCCCACCAACTCAAACTTTGCATATTGCAGACAGATTCTTTTGAAAAATGGTACACCAATTTAAAATTTCTTAACAGTAAGATAATTATAATTAATGAGTGTTTTTGATATCCAGAAGTCTTTGTGATACTGTGTATTATATTACTGTAGTTAGTAAGTTACTAAACATTGCAAATTGCTATATATTGTACTGTTATGAAATTTTTTGAGCTTATTTTCTGTAATAATTCAGCAGTATAACCTACTAAATCACTAAAACTCTGTATAAAGCCAATCACAATAAATTACTATACTGTATATCTATCTTCTCATTTGTTATCTCATTGGGGAAAACACCCCACTAACTCAGACAACTTTCACTCCCTTTTAGTCCAAGTTAGTGAAGGTTTACTATATATCGTATTTGAATCAGTTTTGTTGGATAATAAATTATTTTCAAATGTAAAAATTTCTTTAGAAAGTTTTTCGTATTCTGTTATTATTAAATAGATGTGTTAGAGATGAATTAATTATTGATTGACCAATACTTACCTCTGTATGTATACATATGTATGTAAATAAATTTATTAGCATTTAATTTAATATACAAAAATTAGGTAAAGTGATGATTAAAAATGACAATCAGCTACTCCAAATATAATCATTTGCAATTATTTTGTGTAGATTCAGAAGAAAATTTAATTTTATTATAATATTTAAAATAATGCATAAACATTATAACTCAGACATGGGCAAACGCAGCTCCAAGAGCCGCATGCAGCTCTTGCTGAAAGTGTTAATTTCTGCTTTTTATTATTATTTTTACAATTTTATTTCCACAATTTTGTGGAAATATTTTATTAAAAAAATTCAATATTTGTTTTATACTATATTTATATTATATAATAAAATTGTGGTACAAAATAAAAAAGTACAGAACTGCCACTCCTATGCATTTTGCAAAACCTACATTTCAGCTCCCACTGAACTTTTGCTTGCCTACCCATTATAACTATTTTATCTTATTTTTTATAAATGTAGAAGAATAAATTTTATTCTTATTTATAACATTGAAAAGTGAGTTTTGTGTTATCAAAATTATTAGCCTAACACTGTTAAAAAATTTATAATTGTTTCTTTATGAAATTATAAATTATACATCTGATAATACACAATAATTGTGCAGTATATGATTTTGTCATTTTGAGCAATTACAACATAGAATATTCATAAGATTTCCTTTATATACAATGCAAAAGATTATAAATCAATGGAAAAAAATTGCACATAATGATAAAAAAAATATATGAAGTCAAAAAGTATAAATGTAAAGCAGCGCTGTCCAACTTATCATAGCCCGCGGGCCATATTTTCTTCACGAAACATTTCGGGGGCCAAGAAGGTTGATAAACCACATGACATTTGCATAGTGCTACGGTTCAGTAAGCACTAATTAGTCAGCGAGTCCGATGTTGACGCTATAAAAAGACGACAGTTTGACACACCGGATATACGTCACTATCGTCTAAGTTCGATTTGGGAATTTTTTTGTTCAATAATAAATGTGAATTCTTCTTCCTGGAAAAAATAAGACATTCCCTGAAAATAAGACCTAGCGCATTTTTCAGAGCAAAAATTAATATAAGACACTGTCTTATTTTCGGGGAAACACGGTAGTAAAATAATTTTAATATTAATAATAATAATTTAGTAACATAAATTTATTCATAGTAAAATGTACTCGCGGGCCGTAAAAATTATTTGGCGGGCCG